CACTATACAAGAATGATGAGGCTTTGGTGTCTGTGACAAAGAACTAATTTTAATTTGCAAGAGTAATTGTGGTATAATGTCCAGGCACTTCTGGCAATTGTTGAATTGTTAAAGGTGGTGTTGAGGATGTCTCAGGTATATGCTGGATGGAATTTACAGCTGAAGACACTGTTAATTCTCTAGATGGTCAGTTCTGTCTAATGCAGTTGCTGAAAGATACCTCTGTCTCTCACTGTGCTATGGGGAATCACAACAATGGTATCTTTGTTCCATGTATGTTTTGTGGAGGTGACCTCCTTTGTGGAACAATTTCAAGAAGAGTGGTGAGAGACTACACAGACTTAAAAACACTTTTGGCTTATTGAACTCTTAAATCCTTGAATTCTTAAGGCTCTAGAAGAGACTTTCAGTATATCTGCCTTGTTGATTTGACTGATGTATAAAAAAACCCTCTCCGGATGGGTGCAATAGATGAGAGCATTGAAATGTCAGCAACCAGTGCAAGAAAATCCAGCATCTGGTACAGAGTAGTGCCAGAGATCTTGGTAATGGTGGTTCATCCAAGGTGAAAGTTGATGAATCTATTGTCAAGTCAGAGCTTGAAGGAGGCTGATCTGTAAAGCTAAAATTACTCTTTCTGATCCCTTGTTGCCTCATGAAGTCAACAGCTTCTCTTCTGCGCTGGAGAGGAGGTGGGCCTCAGTAGAGGCTTGTGCTTGTGTGGCCAACGTGTTTTAATCACATCTTTCATATGTACCCGTGCTGTTATGTACACTAAAGTAACACTTTAGTGACTGTCATCATTCAGTGTTGCTTATTATTTTGCAAGTTGTAAACTGGCTGATGGGTTTACAGTGTTGACAAACCAAATGCCAGCATGCTTAGGGGTCATTTTTCACTCTTTATCAAGTGTCCAGTGGAGTGGAAAGGGACAGCTGAGTGTGGCAGAAGTCAGTTACTTCACTGGTTAACATGGAAGTAGGAGAGGAGATCTGTATTTGCTTTGAAAAGAGAGGAGGGAAGTTGCCTAGTCCTGAGATGGGGATATATATTTGCATAACCTTTAGTTTTTTTAATTATATGGAGTCCTGCATGTAGTGTATTGAGAAGACAACTCAGTAATGACATGCCTAAGTGTTCACTGTTCTTAAATTCAAGTGAAGTCTGGAAAGGAGTAAACTTGGATGAACGTGAGGTTATTTTTGATAAGTGCCCTGCTGAATAAAAACCTTAAAAAATAAACACAGAGACATCTCCAACACTTCAGAAAGACTGAAAATTACTTTTTAAAATACAGCATGCTCACTAGTGTTCTTTTTTTTTTCCTTTGTTGTTGTTTTTGTTTGTTTGTTTTCCATTAGCCCCATTGGACTTGGGAGATAGGGACCAGCAGCCTGAGAGTCACAGATCAGGCTCAGTGTTACCTTTTGGTAATGGTTGTCACATAGTAGCATAAAACTCTTCAGTCTTGGTGTTAAAGTTTGTGGGAAGGGGCAATTACTAGAAACGGAGCTTTTGTGCAGGATGCTGAGCTTTTTTGTGGTCCTCAGAGCTGTCCTTCATGTGAATATTGTTGGACATGGACAGTAATGGCAATGTGTTGTTTTAAATACAGTTTTTCAACAAGCTCAGATTTAGTATGGAAATAGGACTTGAATTGCTGCTTGTTAAATCTGTCTGCCTTCAGGGAATTAAAGGGACAAAATAGTTGTACTGAAAGTTTTGTGATTAAAAATAAAAAGGTTGTGGGCAGTGGAGATAGTATCTGAGCAGTTTGGCTTCACTGAACAGCCTTTGCATTAACAATTCACTAAATGTGTTCAATTTGCTCACATTAAAGCATTTTGGGGGCAAGTTTGAAGAGCTGGTCAGTAAAGTATGCATCTGAAATTACAGTTTTTGTTATTCCAATAGTTTGTTGGTTTCCTTGATTACAGAAATCATACATTAGTAATCAAAACATATTTATCAAATATATGTATATATATATAAATAAAAACACCAAATGTTGGTTTACCTCTTATCCACACATCCTGGAGTGACTCTGACTGTACAGTTCACAGTATCTCACAGCATATGCACAAGTGTTTTTAATAATGTGGGCACCTGTACTGTATGAGAAGGAATTAGTAGTTTTCAAATGCTGTTGTCATCAAATCTGATAGATTATGTAATAAAAAGCACCTTTTTCTTTGTTTGTTTTATGTGTTTGAGCTAAAAGGGGGATTAATCCTCCTGGGTTTGTGGCAGTGTTTAAACTCCTTTGTTTCTACTTCTTTAAAAGGAACGAACCATAAAGTTCTAACTCTTGCTCTTGCCATAGAAATTCCTTTTGTGCATGGCATGTCCTTGAATTGTTTTCCAATTTCACAAGGTATGAAACAGACATTATAAAAACACTTAGAATGACCAGATGAGAACCTCTCATAAATGCATTCGTGGTTATATTTTGTGTTCTGCAACCAAGAATACGCAAAATGCTTTATGATATTTTCAGTTTAAACTATTTTTAACTGCATTTGGAATGATTAATAAATAACAGTCTATTTTCTTAGCACAGAGGGCTGCTAAAGAAAGTCACAATTTTACTTTTCATGGACCATTGTGATGACTGTTATCCTAATACAGACATAGTTAGCAAATTAGTTACAGAGCTTTGAATGTCAGTGAGACCCTCCTAGTAGGCATATCAGGCCTGAAACAGGAATAGTGATGTGTGCAGTAGCCACAAAACCTGAAACTTGCTTTCCTTCATGCTACAGGACATTCCTGCCGCAGGTAGAAAAGTGGTCAGCTTGCAGAAGAGTAGGAATGTTTTGATTGGACACAACCATAGCTCTGTTTGGGGAAAAGGGGGAAATTAGGCTGTAAGCCAATAATAGCTGTGCTCTTCTGAAGGTACCTTAAGGCTTTCTGGCATTATTTGAACTAAGAAAATACATTTCTGTGACTGTGGAGGGAATGGAGTAGGGGTTTAGGACAGTCCTGTTGAACAGTCTTCTTTCAGCAAAACAAGTTTTTGAGCTGCTAGCTGTATGGTGTATTGCTACAGTCCCAACCATGGAGTTCAGTTGCAGACTCATGCATGCAAGACTTTTAAACAAGCAATCTCAAAATGCATTTTACTGCTGCATTTCTGAGCCTAGCTGAGTTTCAGCATGGCTTGTGTAGAGCACGCAGCCAAGCTGAATTGCAACTCTATCTGAGATTAGTTCCATGGTGAGAAGAGAAACTTGGTGGATAACTTAGAGTTTGTAGAACTGTCTTGCCCACAAATGTTGTGGTGTGGTAACACCTCAGTGCTCAAGTTTTGGGGGAAATGTAGATGAGCACAGTGTTATCAGCAGAGTCTGTTCTCCTGTATGAAGTTCTGTGCTTGGCTGTGCTGCTCTTGGTACCAAAGTTTTCATTGCACATACCTGTATTAGTTGCCACTGTGCCTTAAAGTCCATCTTGAAACCAGGATTAAGCAAGGTTGTCAGGCTCACCTGGAACTTCATTTGAGCCCAGATTTCCTAAATATGTTTGTTTGTTTTCCTCCTTATTATAGCAGGGTTTATAGCTTGTTAAGTGTGAGTTCTTTATTTTGGGGGTTTGGGGATTTTTTTTCCTCCTCTGAAAGAGTCGGAGCTTCTCTCCTCTTTGACTTACAGCAGCCATAGAGGAGATGCAGTGATGTAAACTACAAAACTTCTGTAGATTATTCTGGGTCAAATGTGGCTCTTGTGTTCGTTCTATGATCTTTACTACGAAGATGTTTAGCCATGCCATCTAATAATTCTTGTGATAGTTACAATTTTGCAAAGGATATAGTTGTTCATTAAAAATTCAGCTGAGACTGCTAACTACTTTTCATATAATGTGTTGATTTGTCTGTGGGTGAAATTACTTAGTAACTGGTAACCAAAGAGAGATTTTTTTACAGCTTACTTGAAGTCCTACTTAGCCTTTTTAGCTTCTTCTTGGTTTCCACAGGTGTGTCTTCCCAGTTTCACATGTGCAATGTGAGCTTTACCAAGCTCTTTGTCCTTTTTTCTGAACTAAAAAATTCTATTCATGTGCACAAATAGTCATAAGGTGGTTGTGTGTTATCTCTGTTGATTCCTAAACGAGTTTAACCCAAGGACATGTTTCATCTTAATAGAAACCTTTATTGATAAATTCAGTAGTACTTCTGGAAAAACTTACACTACAAGGAAAGAATGAAGTAGGTTTTTACACAAATAACTTCTTTGAAGCCAAAGAAAAGTGTTCAGACACTCCCACAGTAGTCCAAAGCTCTTTGTAGTAGCCCAAAGACAGCTTCTAACACATATATTTTTTGTTCTTAAAATGAGAGATTATGTCTTCTGGCTTTGGATCCAGGAGTAGGAGTTGCTTTAGTGTTACCTTAAGTGTATTTGTGCTAGATGCCACTCCTCTGCTCCTCACCTTGGGAATGCTAAATTAATTTCATCTTGGAGAGTGTTCAGACCACTGAAACTGCACACTTGACCCAGCTTGTGAAATGAATCATAGGGTCAAGTATGGGTAAAAGAATATTTTTGTGATCACTCCTTGCCAACAGCCAAACAAATCTGTGAGGGAAAAGAAAACCCGACCTGTTATAACTAGTGGTTACACTGGTTTGTTTTGAATTCTCAGTTGTCTCCAGTGTCTGCTAGGATCCATGCATAAGTGCAAAGAAAAGTTGGGAGCCTTTTGTTACAATCCTTATATTGGAGACAGGACGAAAACCATGAAAATTTTGGACACCCAGATAATGAAAATGTTTTATTGTGTGTATTGACTCTAAGTGTATGTTTTATTGGGAATGTATCCATTGGAAAATCAAAATTAGGAGAAGTAATGTGCAAAATGTAATTTTATTATGTGATTCTGTCTCTAAGGGTCAAAGCATACATATATGTATATACATATATATCTGTCCTATGGCTTGTCATTTGGCAAAACTGAATACAGATTCCTGGCAAAATTGAGCATTCCTTTATTCTCTGCAGGGGTGGGCTAGCTGAGAGGTTATGTCGGCTGCAGAACAGAGAAAGATCTGCCATTAGCTTTTGGAGGCACCAGTGTATTTCAGATGCAAATATCCCCTCAGGTAAGAAGCATTATACAATACTACTGTGAAAGTATATACTTACATGTGTATATATGGCCTACATAGGGGTAACAGTGAAGTTTATAATCTTTGTGGGGTTTGCCTGACTTGAGTTTAATGCTCTCTTGATTGTCTTCTGAGCAAATATTGCATTTCTGCTAAATATGATGGTTTCTAATGTCTCAGTCATCAAAGTATCTGACTATGAGGAGTAAAGAACATATTTTCCCTTTCTGGCACTTGCATAGCAAAACCATGCTGCCTCACAATTTTCATAAACTAAATAGACTGAGCTCTTCAAGGGTCTCTAAAACATTTTTATCAGTGTTCAAGTGATTTGCATGGCTCTTTACTGCACCCTCTAAAACTTTTCAGCATAGTCTTAGGAAGAAGGTGAGCTACTCTGTATGTATTCTTCCAGTTTTAGTCTCATTAATATCCAGCTCACTTCTCAGCCTCCTGAAGGTTCAAGGCCTGTGATAAGTGTTTGGGTCTGGTTTGGCTTTGATCAGAGTGTGCTGCTGGGACTTCATGTTGAATTGACTGTCCAGTACAATTTTATAACTTCTATAGCCGTTGTTTTCTGAGATCCTGTTTCCCACTCCCAGCTACTCTTTCTATTTCTTCTGCCTGAACACAGTGAAGTATTTGTGCTATATCCAGGTTGGCTTCATTTGAGTATGCTCAGCTAACCGCAGAGTTCAAATCATTGTGTATCTCAAGCCTGTCCTCTTTTAGTCATGAATTTGCTTGAATTTTTGGTATCCACGCAGTTTCTTACAGTTTTTTAACTTGTTTTTATATCACTGATGAAACCATTTATTAGCATGAGCATTTACTTCCAAATCCTGCTGGAAATGCTATTAGTCATTTATAATTCTCCACTAATGAAAAGCTCTAACTGTAATTCACAAAATTAGTTCTCAGAATTATTTTTTTTTTTGCATTCCACTTAAAGGGTGCATTACTTGCAGTGAAAATAGTCAGATTTTCTTAAGAAGGTTGTACAATTTAAAGTCACACCCAAACTGTGGGCTAGTCTCACAGTTTCTCACTGGAGCTTTGGAGGGCTTCCATCCTGTGGCCATTTGCGTGCTATGTGTTCAAAATGCCACCCATGTGCAGTAGCACATTGTATTTATGACCTTAATTCCTTACTTATTTTTCCAGTCACTTTGCCTAGATCTGATGACAGGCTAGCTGGTCTCCAGTTACTGTAAGCCATTTCGTTTGCCCTACCTGAATAGGAGCGCAATATCATCATCCTTCCGGTCTTCTGGAATTTCACCAGTATTTGAACACTCACTAAAAAGTGCCATCAAGGAATCAGAAATGTCTTTAGCTAACTCTTTTCAGAAATGCAATGTTGAAAATTATACAGGCATGCTCCCTTAAAACTAGTGAAGCCTTCTGCATTGATTACACCTCCACTGGAGTTACTAATGGATAGGAGACTTTTTATCATTCTTATGTGGGTATGAAGACATCCTCTTGCTGCTTCTGAAATATGGAACAGAAATAGATATTGAATAGGTTTGTCATTTTAATAAAATGAAAATTTTTAATGTTCTCTGTAGTAACAGACCTGCAACACTGCTAATATGCTAATATTCTTTTTGTCCTAGTTTCACATGTGTCATTACAAAACCTTGTGTTTGGCTGCTCACCATTTTGTCAGACTAACTTCTAGGCTGAAATATTCCATGCTAAACATCTGCCTCTGGCTGAATTCCTTTCTTTGATTATTCTTCTTTCTTTCAGAAAATGAGTCAGAATTCGTTAGCATTTTATGAGAAAAAGGCTATGGGAAAATACCTTGGTCTATTCTTAAGTACATTTAAAAAATTCTGATGAGCATCTTTGAGATGATTTAGTTTTGGCAGAAGATGAACTATTTCCTGGATATGCCTTTTGCCATCATACTGAAAATGTACGAGAACTTGGGCCAGTTAGAAGTCTTTAGGACAAACTACTGTTTCATTTACCCTGTAAGCATTTGCTAAAATTTCTGAAAAATGCTGGATGTGCCATAATTTAGGAATACACTTCAACTTCACAGCCTAAATTTCACTTCCAATTCTCAATCCTTGCTCCAGTGTATTAGGATTATAAAATAACCATTAAAATAGCTGTGATAATATTTTGGGGATAGTTTTCCATTTAGGACAAAATTTATTTTTCCTAGTTTTATTCTTAGAATGGCCATACTGTTTTGTGTCGCCAAAATAAAATTGGTGTTTGGTTTGGAGGACATTAGTTGGAATGGTTGAAATTTTAGTAAAGTAACTAGATAACCTTCTAATTGCTTCTAGTCTGGAATGTGAAGTGTCAGCACAGCAAAGGAATACCACTTTTAGCTTTCACCACTTTAGGTTCAAGTTAAGGGTGTCTCACTAATCTGAGATTCTTCTCAAATTTTGTTTCCCCTCTGTTTTGCCCAGTAATATTTCTAAACTGCATTGTTTCCTGGACTCTTTCTGAGAGGAAAGAACTTCTCAAATTGCAAACTCATTTGAGTTACTAAAGAAACCTGAAGATTAATGTGAAGGATTGAAGTACCTTAGTTGCTGGGAGAGCTGTCACATCATTTTGGATATCCCATGGACATGCAGACCATGCTAAAGCAAAGGGGAGCAATTTTAAATTATATCAGTTTGAGGTCCTTCTTACATTTGAGATTTAAGGAAAAATCTTTCAGAAGTGTGGGCTATTCACCCCATTAGACATTTCATGTCACAGAATTTTATGCCTTTATTTTACTTATATCAATCTTCATATTATCCAAAACCCCCTAGGTTTTGGCTTTAGTTTTTAAAAATTCCTGTCTTTTAGCTCCCTGACCCCTTTCTGTAAGTAACCATTGTGGTTTGGCTGGCTCTTGGTCACTGGAATGAATCACGGCCCAGAAGAGAGCACCTCCTTTCAGCACGTACTTTCTGGTTTTTATACAGTGCACGGGGTCTCACTTTTGGCCAATTCATTCCGCAGGGTAGAAGAAATCCTTGCACTTGCTCCGATTTTGACAATTTTGGATCAAAATTGCATTCGGCAGCCTGTCCCTGTGTTGGGATAGGCACTCACTAAGGATATGCGTTTCTGCAAGGTGGTTGGTAACTCCACTTCTGTAAATCAAGCTAACCATACCAGACAGAGGCCTGAAGGGAGATAGGAACAAAGTTTGTCTGTGCTACTCTGCGTTGGTTGAATGCTTGCTGTGGTTTAGTTCTAACAGAGGCAGATGTCAGGCTCTTTACCGCAAATCCAAAATTTTTTCTTCACAAGATGTAAAAGGGAGGTTGAGGTGCAGTCTTCATAACAGCATGTCTCCAATCAACCAAGCTAATGGTTTGAGAGTACTCTGTGCATGGGCTTGTAGACCATTTGCAAGCTTTTTTTCTGTATGCAGTGCTGCAACTTCCCTATGAAGTTTCCTGTTTGAGCTAAGAGGTGATCTGTCCAGCTGAAAGAGGGAGAGGAAAAACAAAACCAAACCCAAAACAAAAACCTAAACCTTTTTCCTGTCAACATCTACTGGTTATATGGGGATTGCATGATGCAGAAGAAAAAATAATATTTTTCTGAGTTACGTTCAGATGACCTTCCTGTCTATAGGAGGGGACACAAATAATATTTGAAACAAGCTCATGTAGATTCCTTTTGTAACTTCCAAAATTTTACTTTCTATACATCTTACCTTCTGTTGTTTGTTTTTGCCTGGCAGTTATCATCAAAGCAGTTCTTTACCTTAAACGCAGAAACATATTATTCTCTAGCATTTATAGTCTAATGCAAGATATCTGCTTCTTGTTAGCCTGAGATTAAGCTTTGTGGTTGTGTTACAATTGAATTTGAGTAGTGAACTGATAATAAACCAAACCCATTGATCTTGCCTTGCAAACTGCTCCTTCTTCTCAGGGGAAGGTGACCTTCAAGGGGCAACAAATCTTCATTTTGGTGAGGCAAGTGGAACACACACATGAAGGGAGGAGAGTAAAGCCCTGGAGATGAGGACAGGGTTTCACATGTAACACCACATTTTCAGGAAGGCTGAAAGGTTTACAGAAGAGGATATAAACAATCACTCCCCCTCTTCCAGTTTCGATGACTAGTTAAAATGATGGGAAAGGATTTTAGCAGCTTGAATGCCATGAAACTTGCACATGGATGAAGAAAACAAGGGTAACCCTTAACAGGATTTCCTTTACTATGCAAAATTCTTCTAAAAAACACAGAAGTCTGAATTTTGCGAGTCGTTGCTTATTTTCTTAATTCTTGGTGGTCTGTTTTATTATTTAAGAGTTAATACTATAATAGAGAGACATAGCAAGTGGCCAATTTTTTTTCCTAGCTAGCTGTCTGAACTTGTTACAGCATTGGGAAGGAAAAAAACCCAAATGTAAACTTGTCTTTTTCAAACAAGAATTCCTTGTATGTTTTTGTTTTCTTATGGGAAACAATAATGACATGCATAGTTACTTTAAGTAGTTTACATGTGTTCTTATAAAGAATGTATAGTGTTTAAAGCACAGCCAAATTCAGCAGCCTTTTAAAAATTAATATAAATGTGGCAAGAAGCCATCATGCCTGCGAGACTTGATGTGTTTTTGAGAAAAAAATCTTTTCGAATGGCTTCAGAAGTTACCAGCCCAGGAAGAATTACAACACATATGGATCAGAATAGCAACCCTGTACAGGCTGTGAAAACGTTGTAATCTTCACCTGGTTTTCAGCGTTGACTTTGGATTTACAAGGGTCTGCTTGGTATCTACCTGCTTGCTGAGTTTGTTATGCCTGCACCTGCAATTTTTACATGACTAAGGAGGAATAAAAGTAATGGGATGCCAAGCAAAAGCATGTTTTTGTTTTGATTTATGCCTGTAATTTGACATTTTTTACTTTTTACACTTGAAAATGAGAGTAAAACTTTGTGGCTTGAACCAGAAAGTGGTTGGCTATTCTTTCAGTGCAGATAGTACGTGCTGTCCCAGGAGGATGTCCAC